ACCTTGAGCAATGGAGTATTCCAGCAGGAGGAAGACTGAGACCAAGAGAAGGACCAGCCTCAATGAAGCAGAAGCCATAAGATTTCTGCTGAAAATAAAAGACTCCAAGACTTTATTCAAATGTGTGCTTATGATGATTTTTTAACACAAATTTTAAAAGGATCTCAGATCACGAGTATACTGGCCTTCTAATTATTTAGTGCTCAGAATTTGCGCCATGGGTTATAGCTTAAAGATTGTTTCCTCCTTGTGGGCCATCGTATTCTAGGTAGGTTTTATTCCCTCTCCGATCCCATCTATTTTTTTACACTCTACAAGGATCTTGAAATGACGAAATCCACTTACGCAAGTTTAGCTCACTTCGTCTTTCTCCTCCGAAACATTTAACTAAACGCACCAGAACCATGAAAATTGATTCGCATAAGACCAGATCCATTAAGACACTTGACTACATTTTGAATAAGGTATACCAAGGATCCACTCTCTTAATCTTATCTTCATTTGTCTACTGACTTCACCACATATAAACCTTAGAAAAAACTCCTGCCATCTGATGGAGGGAAGACTAACCTTTTCTGGGTTAGAGATTATAAATTCATGCATGTCGTACTTAAGTCATAATATAGCGGTTTATTCAGCTTTACGATACCTACTGCTCACCTGACCAAGCGAGTAGTTTTTCCATGGAGCTGACCATGTTTTTTTCTGCTTGGTGAATCGAATGATTTGAAAGATGCACATGATTGGCTCACTTCATTTCATGATGGTGAAAAGATTACAGAGGGCAACACATTACTTAGAAACATCATGTTTAGAAGGCGAAATTTTCTCTCTATTCTTGCTATATTGCGCATCAAGACCTTATTCGTGATTCATGAATATATAAAGCTTTAAAGTGTTGTTTAATGTGGTAGGGATATGCATGAATGACTTGCACATTCACCGGTATCGCAGCGAGGATATATGCCTATGTATACAAACCCAATATTTCAAAAGTATTGCATCTTGTATACATGCTAAATTCTTTGTGTAAAACTTGAGGATTATCCCTACTCAAATTACTATTTTTAGGGAAGGGAAGGTTTTGGATCATTGAGTGTGAGCCACACGGATTTTGTATGTAATGCAGTTACCTGTTATAAGGTATTTAAGGACCTGACGAGGTGAACACGAAAACAGACATACGACAAAAGAGGCGTTTAACAGCCGACATACAGCTGGCTCAGCTGTAAACTTTTACTTCTATCTAAAACTTAGAGAATTCATAAATTCACAAACTTAAAATTTGCGTGTATTTCTACTCAGAGCTTTCTTTTAGGCGCATATCCTTAGATCATACATTAAAGATAAATATAAATGCCTACTGCTGCCCTCAGTCACCTTATCTAAATGCTACCTGTTAACAGTTTTAGCAAGTTGTCTGTCCTCTCTCATTTCTTTGTTGCCTCAGCGAGCTTACTGGGACATTTTTTCAAATCATTCATTGAGAATAATCTTTTAATACTATTGAATTGATTTGCTCTAGAGACGGCCTTTTTTTTAACTGTAGTACAACAAGGTTTGAAACGTTTTTGGCCATCTTTTTTCACTATAATCTATTATTTCTTATAATCAGTTTCAGAGCATCTTAAACGTGTTGAAACAGAATTTAGAATCTATTTTGAAAAATTATTATGGTCATATTGATTTAGTTCGTCGATAACTGAAGGGTTCTTGACATTATCCACTTTGCCCTTGATATATATTTATAAAACGCTCTCTTCCCAAGGGAGTCCTTGTGATCAAATATTTCTATTTTTTTAGTAAATACATTGAATAAGTCATGCCCTTACTGAGTTGCAGAATTAGAGTCAGACATTTCTCTAACGATAACGTCCCCATTTTGGAAACATCATAATTGCTCAAGGAATAAAAATATCAGAGGACCAGTCGCCTAAACTGTGTTTTCATCAGTAAAATATCTCAGTAAAATTGGATGCAAAGTCGGCTACGAAGCCCCACAAATATGTCATATTCTAAACTTGGATAGAAAATCAAAAGGGCGGTCAAGCATTTTTAGTTTATCGCTGGAAGAGTGGCCTCATTGAAAATCTTCACCGAGCACACTCACGTATAAATCGCCAGAAACATAAAAATTAGGTAAAAACGCACCACACTACAAATACTGGGTACAATCTAAGGTTTAACCAGGCGCGCAATATATTTGACACGGGGTTGAAAAGGAACCTTCACGTGTGTAGGTGACACGGTTATGTCTCGCTTGAACGTTCCAAATCATTTAATCCCTCCCAATTCACGTTGAAAAACAGATCTTAAAGTAACCTTAAGCTTCTGCTCTTTGAGCAATGTAAATTGAAAATCACGACGTTTGGATAAGCAGCCATGATTTCGGGAACACCTTGAAGCCAATGAAGTGAAATAATCACCTACCTGTAAGAGTTCAAGCGATTGTCATCTTACGACATTAACCAGTGTAAAATTCTGCGTTTGAATTTCAAACCCAGAGAACCAAAACGGATTCTGGCGGGGTAAAAAATACAAGACTCCAAGGAACTAAAACATATCTTGATTTCTCACGCAAAAAATCTCGCCTAAGGATTCGCCATTTCTTTTCCACCTTTGGTGTAAAAATATGAACTAAGATTGATTTATGGGTTGAGATCATCATTGAAAATGGACCAATCAGGTGGAACCACTGAAAATCATTGTTTCGTTTGTTGATCCCCGGGAATTAAGACCAGTCAAGCCGTGGAGTACCATTTACCTGTTGTTTGTATTGGATATTATCAACAAAATTGAACATGTTTTGAAAAAGTTTTCACGCGTGTTCATACGACTTCTGGAAAAAGATTAAAACACTTTCAGGTTTTACATTTCCAGCGCAAATCTTAGGGCATTTATTTCCAAGCTACCTCTGATCACGAGTCATCAATAGGTCGGGTACAAGTTAAATGTCTGCAATTCCCTTAATACTAGTGTACACGGTCAAAATTTCTCGATGCCTACGCATATTTTATTGTTTAAAATAATTCCACTTTAGAAATTGTAGGGAAATATACTTAGTACTGTTTCCACTGAAGCGCGTGCTTACGAGATGCCCAAGAAGGCATGCCTGATGCAATGGTGAGAAAATAGTTCTACGCGTACAGAAGTCATTATTATGTTTTCATTTTTCTTGTTTTGTTTAGTTTTAAGCTGTTTCTCGACAAAACCAATTGGCACTTGACATATCTGTTAAAAAACACAAGCACTTTTGAAATAAAAAGGGCCATTTCAAAATGTCACCACCACTACAAATTCCGATGTGGCGTAAATTCACACCTTTCAGCATCAAGTTCACCTGGAAAGGTAATGGCAAGTGCGCTGTTTTCCGTTGGACTCCAGTAGTAGCAACGAGTATGACAGATTATTAGGATTATTGTGATGTGATGCTGGAAAATACGCTTAACCTTCATTTTTGGAAATCTTGACTTAAGGTATCAACCTGCAATGTGAAAATTTCACTGTCTGTACTTAACGTTTACCTGTTTCTTAACAGAAGGTATTCCTCAGAGTAATTACTAATCGGAACAAGATACCACTTCACATACTTTTAGATAAAAATGTTTTGCAGATGTAAAAATAGAAGCAATTTAACCGTATTGAATAAAATAGAGGAATATAAACACAATTCCATAGGCCATTTCCGCATTATCTTTGGCCTCTTATTCAAACGAGGCCTGGTGCTCAATCATTCGTTTTAAAATGAGTTTCGTTTACATGTTAACTTGCGATCATATGAAAGGATAAGCACCAGAACTCGCTTTGAAAAAGAGGCTAACGGTGTTTCGGAAATGGGCATTATAACATCCCTTTTAAAACTGTCTTGTCATCTTCCGCCGAAAACTATAGTTTCTCTCGAGTTCTCGTGTAATTACTAATAAGTCTATAAAAAGAATGAAAACGAATCAAGAAAATCTAGTTATAGGATGACCAAAATAAGAGGAAATTAAACCCATGAGAACATGTTGATCGACAATTTACCTTCGTACCGGTTGAACGTGGATATAATTCCCTAATAGCTTTATCATCACTATGGGGCTATCATGTCAAACATCCAAACTTCTTTAAAATAAACGATTCTACCTATACATTCTTTTATTCTACTGAGGGCGTTTAGCGATCCTTTTTGCCTCCCACAGCGATGCATCACGTCAGTCGCCATAATTCCCCCTCATTTCGGCTTCGAACTAGCCTTTTCCTATAACGTTTTTCCAACTAGAGTATTTTTTTGAGTGAGGGTCTCCGATGATGATAAATCATCGTTCCCTGATGGTGATTTTGACATGTAATTTGCCATAGCAATTGGGTCAAAAAGAATTATAATAATGTTAAGCTCTGAGTTCAGACGGATGGTGCCGCAGGTTGTCATACCGGGATACGCCCTCCAACCTTTTTGAGTCTAGAAGAGAGTACTCCTAATATAACATAAACATTCCCATAACGAGCCTTCCTACTCCTATTAAAAAAATTATTGTTGATGTATCTTACATATTCAATATACACAATACTACGCACCAAGCGCACGCAAGGACTTTTTCTTAGTGATCCCATCAATACTAAATACCTGAACATTGCCTTGGTTGATCACAAGACAAGTGGCTCTGGCAGTATACTCTTGGTGCTAAGAGACAAAGAAGATTGACCAGGTTGACTTGGTGGGACTAATCTTTGCTGGCACAACACTTACGCATCCATTATCTCTAAGAAAAACAAATAGGCTAGGTTTGGTACTTGCGCTCAGTTTACGCAGTTTTGTGGATTGAATGTGCCGCCCCACTTAATTCTATTGTTCGCTGTATAAGATCATGCGCAATAACAGTTGAAACATTTCAAGCGATTTCCACAAAAGATCAGGAAAAATGGGCGAAAAAAACGTTTTGCTCCCTTTCCATTACTTAGAGGATAGATATGTGAAATTCAGAATGTGAAACAGTTACCAGCACTTTTGCATCACATAGCAGTGTCCTGATTGCCACAGACGAGAAACCTCCCGACAGATAAGCTTTTTCGTATTGATGTTTTTATCGCTGTCAGTCACTTTATATTTTCCACGTTTGATATTTTATTTTGCTTGTTGATGTCAAACAAATCTTTGTTATAGATCATGGCCAATGATAGCATATCAGTGTCCGTGAAAGGTGGAGAATGTCCTCTGCCTCCGTTGCACAGAACGAAAAATAACTATCATTCACCTCCAATGGGCTATTTTCGAATCGCCTATAAGACATCCCGTTTGTCCCCCAAAATTTTGTGTGAGCTTCGTTTTAAAATTTCTCTTGGGATTAGAAAGAGAAATTAAAAACAATGCAAATGCAAAATTTTGGGGGACAAACAAGGTGTATCAGGATGGAAGAGTCGAAAATACCGAATGATGAGTTGTTATCTCTATGAGCAATTGAGCAAAAAATACCCGTGTATGTTATGATCTAAAACGCCTGTGTAATCTTCCCGTTGGAAAAATATTTATATGTACATATAAGGCAGAAAGGTGAACAGCATTTAGATGTGTTTTAAGACCAAGAAGACAAAAATTGGACAATCCATCACCTCGTCATTCATCAGGGCCATGTTTCATATATTACGTTGTTCAAGGTCGAGCTTATAATAACAAATCTCACACATAAATTCTTAGCAAAGGCTTCATCCATTAAGATCTTATTGATTTTATAATACCAATACTTTTTTTGTCAGAATAATGTATCATATTGACTCGTTCAAACAATTAAACTTTATTATTTATGTCAAACTTAATTTGTTCCATGAAAACATGTATGAAAACGGCTGTTAAAAAATATTTTGTAAGTCTTAAATACTTTCCACCAGATTGTTTTTTTTTTGGAACAGGTTCTATGTGTTACATGTAAATGATACCCATTTTATTTGGCTCGCTCTTCATGTGATTTGAAGAGGAGGCTTTTTGCAGCTGCTTTTGAGTGTTACTGCGGTTCACTTTTTTTGCTTCAGCTTCTTCACTTATTTTCCCGCGCTCTCGGACGAGTAACCAATCTCGTTGCGATTACTCTCCCTATTAATTTTCTTATGCTGTTTCGTTTGTAGGGTATAACTGGTTTGATGGAGTCCTCGTTGATTGTGTTCAGAGGTATCCTCGGACCCCTTGGTTGTGTATTCATCTGAGATGTGGGTTTCCCTCCAGGAATTAAACCAGATATAGCTTTTATGGCATTTTCTCCAGCTTTTTTGAAAAACTCCAAAATGTCTCTTGATTTTCGTAGTTGTGCTGATGCTAAGAGAGAAAAGAGAAGCATATCACAGAAGAAACATTTTTTTTTTACAAGATCCATCACTTCAGAGCAACAGAAAACAGTAGCAGGTATCTATCATTCTCGTTGGCTAACAAGGAGTCTGACTTTCCCAAAACAAATAAGAAACAACAGCTGGTCAAAAATTTCTATCTAGCGAGAAATCCAGCGAGGATCAGGGATTAGACGCGGATTAAATTGTCCTTCTATACTAAACAAGGCGAGTGCAATGAGCGTAAGTTCAATGCACTTTAAACATGAATATCCAGACTACATAAATCCATTAGATTAAAGCATCACAATAGTGTATTCATGTCACAATGGGCAGGTACGCCGGGTACCAAACACACTGATTATCAAAACAACGACGGTTCTAATGTCAAATTGTTGTAAATCTCAAAAACAAGTTTAATTAACTCTGCAGTTACCATTACACTTGGATAAAGCTACGAATAAACAAATAAATTTAACTTATACCTTGAATATGAAGTTCTACAGAGAGAATCATAAGGATGATGAGCATAAACATAGCTGGACGACAACCGGGTACAAAGACTAACAGGTCTACCACGTGTTGTACACTGCGGTACGAAACAGACAGCTTTGGCGCATTGCAGGCGGAGAAGGAACGTTTCTTTCAATCTCTAAAAACACCAATGTTATCTTAACTCAAATGTAAACCATCCAGTCGAGTGGATAAACATGTCAAGGAGTAAGCTACTCATTCACATATTCACATGTAATGTGACGTCGACAGGTATAAATATTTGACAACCAGCAAAAAGAGTAAACCAGACTCTTGTTTGATAAGGCCAATGAAACGTATCATTTGGACGGCCCTAGGTGGTGCATACTATGTTTAGTCCAAATCAAGCCGTTTATAACTGATAACAAATGAACATAGTTCAGCCTCCCTATGTAAAGAAAGGCATTGAATTCAAACAGTGAAAAAACGTATAGACAAACATTGCGCAAGGATATACAACACTCTTTACTGCCATTTTGCTGAAAAACAAATTGGAAACGTTATCTACCATCAGCTGTTGTGGTCGAAAACTTATATCATACCTGGCAACCAACGATTCAGTTCAGTTTCATGAAGAATTCTTCAGCCAAAAGTTAGGTGATCACGTGATACGACCAAGGGCCGGAGTTGGCGGGGAAAACCTTCCAAAATGCAGTAAACGACGAATATCTTCTTCTCTTAAAAGCCCCTATAGATATTTTTCGGCCTTTTAATAATTGTTTCCTTCAGTTGTCCGAAAACGAAAACCTTTTCAACCACAGGAAATGTATCTTGGGCGTATAATCAAATTCTCAAAGTAATATTGAAAAGTAAAAGTACAATGCACATAAAATGCTTGGAAATTGCACACCTTGAGACAAACAAGATTTTATTGGTGAAGTCAAGAATAAAACAAACATTTATTGTTATATTAATTAAATTATTTGTATTTTATTGGATTTTATTGATGCAAATTGATACAAGTAAGTTAAACACAATAGGCTTAATTCAAGCAAAATTCACTAGAACTAATCAAGGTTGATACTCAATTCTCTGACTGGCCCGTTTTGATTCAGTTTTTGGACAAAAGTCATGCAAAACATAGGGCGCAAAAAGCCACTCATTAACAATGGTTTTGCATCGCTTCAAAATCGTATTTGCTTCACAGCAATATTATGTAGAAATAAAAAAAAAACTCCTCCGGAACTTGACAAAGAATAGCAATCGTGAGAATGTAAGTAGTATCTTGGTAACTTGGAATTGATAACACTTGCTGATGACAATTTTAAGGCTATAACCTGGAAGCCATCTGTAACAGGAATCTGTCTCAGATCTAGCCGGCCTTACAGAATACTAGTCAAAAAGACAATTTCAAACGCGAGAGAAAAACAGCTGTCATTGTCCGCTGTTAAAAGGTGAGGGCGAGATTGCCTCTGATCCTTCTTCAAATAAAGAGCCTGGGCGACACGGGTGGTTTAACATATTGCCTATGTCATTGGTTTACAGGCTAATTACGACAAACGGAAAACTTTTTCATGATTTGCAAACTGTAAGCATACTGACTATATATCTAAAATAACTGGTTTAAAAACTGTTCTACTGCTCCTTCAGTGTGCTCGGATGTCATCCTCTCTATATCACGTGCTTTGATTCCGAACTTTGCTCCTATAGCTTTTGCAAGGCTAGCTGCTTTTTTAAGGGAGTTATTTACGTCATCAAACACCTCTCGAAGCCTGTTCTGAGTTTCGCAATGCGCAAGGAGTGCTTGAGCCACTTTGAATTTTAAATTGTTAGTTTTCCTGATCTTTTCTTTCAAAATGTCGATCTTGGAAGCTCCAGAGACTGGTTGTTTAACTGAGGAACTTTTGTCATCCTTACTCTCTGGCTTCTTTTCAACTTGCGTCGTTTTGACGTCGTGTTGCTCATTGACCGGGACTGCTTTTGGGATTTGTGAAGGATTCTTTCCATGTTCAGCTAATGAATTGTTTCTATCGCTTAAAACCTTACTTGGTTTCGAACCTTTTGGGGACATTGCTTTCAATTGCTCCTCCAGTGTTTCTTTATGTTTCTGAGGTTCGGTTTTCGATTTTTCTGAGTGATGTGTACTTTGATCTTTACCCAGAAGTTCCTTATGTTTTTCAAGGGATTTCATGGTGGACTGTTTACCAGAATCCTTCATTTTATTAGGGGTTACCTTCATCACCTCAGTAGCGTGCTTAGGCAAATCTTTCCCATGTTTAAGCTTATCCTTTGTGGTCTTGGCAAGGACGGTTTGCTTGAGATCTGTGGGTTTAAAACCAACCTTCGTCTCGTCTTCTTGTTTAGGCCTCACTTGGACCTGAGAAGATTTTGGTTTCCCTCCGGTTGGAGCTTTATTTTGAGTGACAGCATCTTTTACATGGGGTACGATGGAAGCAGGGGCACCGTCCTTAACAACGTGGCTGTTTTTGCCTTTTCCTCCCACCTTAGAGTTTACTTCGCTTTTTACTTTCTTTGGTAAGTCTTTTCCCTGATCATGATGGGATTTCACAATTTTCCTGGTCTTGTGTTCCACTACAGCTTTATGACCGTGTTTATTTTCAACGTTAGCTGCCTTGTCTTTCATTGTGACCAGCTTCTGAGTGTGCTCTTCACTTTTGCGTCCTTTGAGACTTGAAGAGCCCTGGACAACCATTTGTTTTTGTAGATTCTCCTTCGCTCTATCCCTTACCAATTTCTTAGCTGTCTCGTTTTTCGTTACTTTATTTGCAGTCTTCTTTTTACCTACATTTTTTGTCGTTGCATCTTTGTTAGTTCCCTTGGATGGATTATATTTGACTTTTTTTTGCTGAGGAATAACTTTGTTGGTGTGTTGTTGTTTGGCCAGTTTGTGAAACTGCATTGGTTTTGCTAAGTGCACAAGACGTGGCGAACTTTTGGATTTCTCTGGCAACGCGTCTTTCACCTTTTTTGTAACCTTCTTATCGTCATCACCCTTTTGTTTCTTCCCAAGATTCTGTTTCACAGAATGGCTTTTCCTGATGCTTTGCATGAGCTTCCAATATTTATCAAAACCTTTTAAATGGAAGTATTTACGTAAAACATTTGGGTCCATCTTCGCCAGTATCGCAAGAATACGTTTGTGCTTTTTCGTTAGCTTTCTACGAACCATCTTTTTCGGGCCTGTTTGCTTCTGATCTCCCTCAGGATGTGCGATTTCAGATTTCTTGCTGCTCGCTTCAATCGTGGACTGCTCGCCGCCTGCAAAATACTCTACCAGTTCCCTATATGCTTTCTCGGGGATACCGCTGTGGATATTCAAACGGGTGTCTCCTCCAATTAAAGCATTAACGAGGTTTTCTTTACTCATTTCATCAGTGCTTACTTTCTGTATTGCTTTTTTATCTTGTGGCCTTGAAACTCGTTTAGCTTTCGCGGCGGTCAAAACTTTTTTGCTTTTCTCTCTGTCTTCGACCTTCTTCTTCCTTTGTGACGTCTTCTTTACTGGATGTTTGTCCATTCTGATGTTCAAACCGGGCTTCTTCAACAAATGAGAAGACCCCTCCGCTTTTTTGTCCTCTTTCTTGACTGCGACAGAACCTTTCCCTTTATTGTGAAGTCTCTCATTTTTAGCGATATCTCTGCGGACAATTGGTCGGCTGACTTCGGATAACAAGTCGGCATCCGTTTGTGCACCTTCGTCGAAGTCGTCGACAGATCGTGTGGATCGCAAGTGCATTTTCTCATCTTCTTTTATCATACCTCCGCTTTCTTGTATCAGCCATTGATTGATCTCGTTGGCGAGTAATCTAGATTCCCTTTCAGCCATCTCTATTACTTCTTCAAGCCTCTGAATTGCATTGTAATTCCCTGAAATATCCAAAAGGCAAAGTGAGAAAGAATTCAGGAGTTAGGCTGATATCACAAGAGGAAGCCAAAATATTTGAAAAATATCTGAGTTTCAAATATTTTACAAATTTTTTACCTACACATCATCAAACCCTTAACCCTTTGATAGATAGTATATTTTATTGCCAATATAAGCTCATAGGAAACCCTCCAGTGTGTTCACAGCTTACATAGTTAACTTCATAAGAAGATCATACAGAACATTCGTAGTGCATTTTCCAATGCAGGCTGATGACAAAAACGAATGACGTCTTTTTTTGAACCGCGTTAAAAAATGGGATTTTTCTTCTGCTAATTAGTGAAAAATGTATACAGCTTTACTACTAGCAAAAATACTCCGCTTTTCATTCAATTCTCGCTTACCATTCGTCAATTGAAAACAAGCCCCCAGAAAGAAAGCAAAGGCTACTTGTAAACAGGTTTTGTAGCTTAGCTTCATTATCTTGCATGCTGCAATAAAAAAAAGAAAGAAAGATGAAGACGATTGATGATGTTTACCACAAGTTAACCAATGAGGGGTAAGCACGTCGACACAATAGTGCCTTGTTGATCTCAAAAGGGAATTAAGATTGTATACTGATACATCCTGTAGATGCATCACTGCAAAAAAAAAGATTCTTTCGCACTTATTCTGAAATAATGCTTCTTTCACCTCGCACGTTGGTTCAATGTTTTGGTGGAGAAGAGGTAGTCACCACATGGCATGTTCCAAAACTTATTACACAAGATTTGTTAGTTCGAGCACGGCGGTGATCGAAAAATAACTCAATTGAGACGGTTGCGGTTTACGTTGAAATGAGACCTATATGGGGGGGAGGGTGGGGAATCACGTCGCACGCCTTCTACTTGTTCCTTTCATGCGCTATGACCCATATAGAATTGGATCACCGATCCTATCTTTGTTAAATTCTGTCGCGTAACAACTGTCCACGTTTGCAACAGCAAATTATTATCAATTTTTTTTTCTCTGAAGAAACAAGCTCGCTGTTCCACTATATGCGCTGTACACGATAACTACTGACACAACTGGCACCAGTATATATAGCCACAGTACATATATAATGTAAGGGAAAAGTCCGTGCAGTGCTTTCTAAGATCAATAAATCGGGCGAAAACTTGCCAGCTACTTAAAAGTTGATTAAGTGAAGCCATATGCTTTGTGAAGAAATTTGAATAGTAAACAGGAGGTTGGTTTTTGAAAGTTCGATTAGGGATAAATGTTTAGTTATGATGCACTTTCCAAACGGGCATTGGAGTATATAGTTTACGAGTGGATCAAACTTGTCACAAGAACACTCCCACTTCCTGAAGAAATGAAACCCTCGTGTCGCACAAAAGCCTATTTGTTCGACTAAGCACCATAACAAAGGGTGGATCACAGGAGGTGGACAGCGGGATAATTTAACAAAGAGCACACTGAGCTACACAGCGAGAAGCCGTCGTATATCAAGCTAACGCAAGCCTTTTTAATTTAAAAACTTTGTGTTTCAAATTTCAACCCGGGAGTTCCATTAGAAGTAGCTAAAACCTAGGAAAAATAAACTGCATCAACTTACCTCTGAAACCAGTTCTTGTATCTGCAGCTAATTTTTGTAAGATCACTCGTGGAATACACTATTTCTTTCACATACCGGCAGAACTCGCAGCCCCGGAACGACCTGACAATTCACTGAACAAAAGACTCTCGACTCTTCGAGAAATGTTTAGGATTATTGTCGGAATTTTACACCAAATTTCGGGTGGAAACTCGTCTTGTTCTGCAACGTGCAGTTAGGGTACCTGTCAGGAGGGTTATTAAAAATTCATAATGTTGTGACATGTTTAGTGACCCACTCCCCACATCTGTGTTCACTTACCGATTGTGGATGTGATGTTTGATGCTCCGGTGTTAAGTTTTCCATTAAGTTTTCTTCTGTTTTAAAACACAGGTCAAATTACTTATAATCTCTTCAAGGATAAACTTAACTTGTAGGAAAAAAATTAAGTACTGACGTCTCTCTACTTTCAAAACGAGTTGTTGGAAAAGTTAGTGTTGCCTCGCTTAATTTCCCTCTAATTTGTAAATCAATTTCACATTTCAAAAAAAAAAATGAGGTGGAGTGAAATTTAGCATAAGAAATGCACTATTTTCCAGCATTTTTCACTGAGATCTTTTTCTTTTCGTAATATTCATTACCATTAGTACTTATGAGCCATCTCTCAACAACGTAGCAAAAACCTCATCAATCTCTTTTCATTTGATTTATTTACTTCTGATTAGTTATAGCTGAACGAACAGGTGCTCTTTTGTCCATAAGTGCTGTGCTTGGGTCGGTAGTGGTTATAGAAACATCGCCAACAGGAAAAGATGTGCCAAGTTGTGCGTAATGCTGGCCAAATCGTTTTTAGTTTTCTTGACTACGTAAACCTTTTAAAAATCCAAAGATAAATGAAGCTACAGTTAATTGATATTCTTGGTAAGTAATAGCCAATTATTTTTATTGATAAATGAGAGGAAGGAACATAAAAGTCATGATTGGATGATATTGTTGAGTTTTTCCGCCCGTCGGATTTGGCCCAAAATTATCCGTGATGTTATCAAACAGCAGACAGCCAAAAACAATTTTTAAAAAACTGGGAACAGTTTCGGGTGTCTCAATGCCTTCTGTATAAGATTGCGTCGACTTAACTCGGTCATCCTCTATACAGAGTTTTATTCAAAATTTAAATCCTCTGTCGTTGACAACCGTGGCCAACAATTGTTCTAAAATCATACTGACGCAGTTCTTACAAATAATAGAAAACCACTGAAGGTCGGTGTAAACAGAGACATTTCAAACAAGATATACCAATAATAAAATATAACAATTTTGAAATAGCATTAATCCCTCAGCTGACAAAAACAAACCATATTGGGTTTCATATTGGCTCACACGTTATCATCTTCCCGCATAAGTTCTACTTTATTATCCACATAATTTAAAAAAGGTTTAAAACGTTCATTTAGGCAAAGTTAACCTCTAGGTGTCCATTTCCCTCGGTAATTTTCCCTTGCATGCCTGGTGTAAGCTTCCGATAATTTATTTCCAAATTCAAAGTGCTTCTAAAAATGAACATAATCGAGACCCATGTGTTCACCAGCGTGGACCAAGGCAATCTCTGCCTTCCGTATTATATCCTTGACATCTTTACTGGCACCTTTTCCTTTTTTTCTCATTAGTGAAACCTTATCAGCGAGTGTTACATATTGCTTGGCAATTTTCAGTTTCTTTCGTGCCTTGTTCAATTTCCACTTTATTTCTGCCACTTTTGTTTTAAATTTGGGTACTTTTTCCAATAGAACAGCGGCTGTTGAGTCTGATTCTTTCCCAGTCCCTGCACCGGAAGACTCAGCCTGCTGAAGCTCTGTTAGAAGTGAACGATTACTGTCCCGTGGTTCAGGTTTGTTTTCTGAAGAGAAAAAGGCAAATCAGATAAGCTGAGTAAACAAGTTTTCTTTATATTTTAAATACTCTATTTTCTTCAGGAGCCCCATTTCCATCGATAAAACGAACTTCCTAACATCACTTCATTATCTTGTTCCCGTGGGGTTGCTTTCCTGTCTATGCAGAGTCTAGGAAGTTCAAAGGAAGTACAAAAAGTTCGTTTCTGGAAAGTCTTGGTAACTGTATGGACTTGAAGCCATATAAATAACGAGCTAACCATACAAAAAAGTAGTGCAGGTCTTTACTCAAAAAACAGTACAATCTGTTTCGTTTCCTGATATTTTCACTATTTGGTCTTCAAAACTGTTCATATTTTGATCCTCATAGTAAACACGGCAAACCAAAAACAGCTTTTTGGAACCAGCGCACACCGGGACTTTGAAGGAACGGCTCCCAGGTTTCACTAAGAAGAGAACACCTCAGAAAAACATAATTTCAGTCAAAAATTCTACCCCTTTGCTGGTATTAAGTTTGGCATGGAAATGAGTTCTTGAAGTGGAGAATACATTATTGGACTATTTGGACACTACTTTCTGACAAACTTAATTGTCTGAATCAACAGGTGTTGTATTGAAGCGTCCTCCAAACACCAGTTCTGTCGAATCCGGTAAATCTTCTACGAGAAATCACTCGGTCGTCATAAATATTCTTCAGTTTTTTAAATAGATTTTATTTAATCACAACTCGCCTTTCAATAACATGTGTTTACCTTCCCGAGATCAAAATTATACGTTTTCCGATGAAAGGTTTCTCATTACACAAAGCCTATTCCTTTAGTGGAAATCAAAAGCTAGAAATACTAAATGATCAAGCATAAGTCAGTCAAAGGTTCGCTGCCTTGTGAATTGTAAATTGCAAGAATTCGTTCTATCACGTACCTTTCTTCTTTGGCGCCGCTCCGACCACTGCTACGAGTAGAACTAAAAGAAGTACGCTATTTGAGGTCATCTTTCAGACGAAGAAACAGAGGCTAGAAGAACAAACCAGTAAGATTTGCCGGAGTCTGCGCAGTTCTTAAATCATTAATTACGTTCAACCGTGATTCGTACTTTCCCTGAATGACCACTTAACGTACTGTGTTCCTCATTGTCTCTTTCTGAAGTTGGGAGGGGGGAGGGGGGGGAAAACATTTTACATTTCTTAATTACTAAATATCTCAAAACTGTTAATATTTACTGCACGCAATTGATTTATTTTCGAGTATGACTGTAGAGATTAACATCTACATCTTGCTCCATCAAATCAAGATTTTTTTTAACCACTAAAAAGGACAAGACTTTGACCAAGATCAGAAGCACACAGTCGAGCTTCCTCAAGGTTGATCTCATATTTTAGATAACCATCAATCATTTTAACGCCTCTTATATCTTCTATCCCCAGTAGAGCTTTCACTAGTGAGGAATCAGAACATTGGCGTAAGTTTATTGCGAATCTTTGAGTCTAATTCCTGCCTATAAAAGAAAAATAATTTTTTGCAATGCTTGAGGTGCATCTGAGTAGTATGCAAACACTCCACCTGACCGTTCTGGAAAAATCATTGCTCCTTACACTCTGGCTACTTAACATTAAGGGAGTTTTTACTTTGTAAAAAACTGATAAAAAAAGATGCTATTTTGTCCAGAAATGTCACTGTTGAAAGCAGTACGTAGACTCGTATAATAAGTACGATAGTTAGTCACATTACTGTCCGCAAACAACTATTATTTAGAGAAATATTGCTTTCCCAATTTCGCAAAGTACCTATAATCTTCGAATAAGAAACATGTTTTCCCAACTAACCATCTTGTGATTTGCATTTAAGATAGGCACCGTCTATTAGACATAGCAAGTATATATTAACTATGTTGTTTCAAGGTACTTAGAGATCCTCACTGCTCACTAAAGAGTCAAAGCTGTCGAATCTATCAATCTCGCCATTTTTCATTACCAAAATCATGTCACAGTCTTTAATGGTGTTCAGTCGATGAGCAATAGTTATTACTGTAGAGTTCTTCAGTTTCTCTCGCACGACTCTCCAGATTACTTGTTCTGTTTCTGGATCCACGTGTGCAGTGGGTTCATCTAAGATGATAACCTTTTTTTGCTGCAAAAGAACACGGGCCAAACAAATTAACTGCCGTTCTCCGGCGCTAAAATTTGCACCGTGTTCTAATAACTCATGATGCAGCTGTCCTTCCAGATTTTCCACCAACCTTTTTAGTTGGACATCTTCCAAGGCTTTCCACAGCTCTAAATCTTGAAACTGATCCACCAGATCAAGATTTCTTCTCAGCGATCCACTGAAAAGAACTGGACTTTGGCCAAGTACAGATATACATCGTCGAGCTTCTTGGAGGTTGATCTCCTTTATTGGAACACCGTCAATAATGACATTCCCATCCGCGTCTGGCATGCGCAGAAAAGCTGCCACCAGGGATGATTTTCCGGCTCCCGTTCTTCCTGCAACGCCAAACTTGGACCCTCCTTTTAATTTAAGATTTATGTTTCTTAGTACTTGCGGTCCCCCTGGATAGTATGTCAAGGACACATTTTCAAATGTCACACCTCCTTCTAGGGGCCAGTTTTCTGGGGGAGGACGCAGCACTTTGTACCCAGGTTCGCAATCAAGTTTCGTATATGTCAAAACACGTTCAACTGACGTCATTGAATTCTCGACATCCGATGTTTTTCTGACAACAAACTGAGCTTGTTCCACAGTCTCGATAACGTATACAAGAGCAAGTCCAGCGAAAGCTGCGGCGGAAAAAAAAGCTGCATCAAAAGCTGGTACTTCATTTCTTAACCCTCAACAGTTTGTAAATATAACCCGATGTAAGTGCCCTAGAACATGGAATGCTGAAGTTAGAAAAAGGAGACCAAAATCAGATATCCTTTAACAAGTCTATGTGTCTTCTTGGCGCATACATTTCTAACAGTTTTGAAGAAGAGCGTATCAAAATATCTGACATAAACGACTCAACAAATAAAAAATCAACTCTAAAATCAAAGATCAGGTGAATTAATCAAGTTTTTCCTTGAAATCGAAACTTCCCTCAGAACATCATCTGTTGAACGAAAGTTCGTGGTGATAATTCTTCAATTAAAAGCTAAACTGTGTTTAGCTCAATCGGGGTTTTGTATAAGTTGATGGTTTTACAATGATCCATCATTTAGTGATATGACCACACCTACCTGCATCTTGGGAAACTAAAATAGCTGCTAAAGCCACAACACCAGTCAATAAGGAAGAAAGAAGTTCAATGCGCACAGAAAGCCATCTCCCACTGGCCAACACCATGATATACGACTGAGTATGGACATCTTGAAATCTATGAAAGAAATGATCAGTTAACTGTGATTTTTTTTTTTTTTTGCTTTTTTTTATAAAGAAAAAAAAACTCGGTTCTGTTAGTATCTACTGTAGTTTTCTCGTAATCTAACAATCTACTATGTTCAGGTTGCACAGCAGGTTACGGTGTGTTTCTAGGTCTAACCATTACCGTGACATAAGAGGTCCTAGGTATATTTATTCTAGAAACTGCAAGGCAGACTATATCCAAACGCTTAAAAAACTTATCTCTCATTCTCTAAGTGCACGGCTCTACCTCTTCTGCATGCTACTCTCTTTTATAGTTGACAGAAAAAGTATAACACACCTGTAAAACTGTTCTTGAAAATCTTTTTGTCGTCTTCCCGTTCGAATTGTCTCAAGTCCATCCAAGGTCTCCGAAATGTGTGAATACACAGGACTTCGGCATATTGACTCTAACCTTTTGAGCTGTCGTGATGTCTTCAGGTAATAACTAGAGATGTAGAAAACGACTACAGCCAGTGGACAAACGACAAATAGAACCCAAGGGTTTGTGACAATTGGTACCAAAACGGATGAAAGTAGCAGCAGGAAAACTTGGACTGAGAGAAGAAACGTGTCGGGTAACAACTCGTCCAGGCAGCCAACATCCTTGGAAAATCGATTGAGAATTCTTCCAACTGGATTTGAATCAAAGAACAAAACTGGCGCCTTTAATACCGCTGCGACCATTTCATCATGAAGCCGCTCCGAACATCTTAAAGACGCCAAGAGAAATCCATATGCTCTGATAAAGGCAAATATGAAGGATCCAATCACTAGACTGCTATACGATATTAAGCTTATGTTCTTCCTCTGATTTTCGAGACGTTTCTTTGAAAAAAATGAAAGCCATACGTCAGGAGCAACGATCATCCCTATGATTAAAGAAAAAAGTAAGAATTAACATTTGGTCAACCGGTAGATGAAAGAAGGTTTAAAACATTGAGATCAAAGCAAGAAAATTGAATACGACAACTTTCTTATATCACTTTGTATATAATATGAATCTTACCTTGAGTAATCACACATAAAAGAAATAAAGAAAATATTGCTAACGAGTGCAATCCGCTTCTGAAATATTCCCAGTAAGTCTTTAAAGTCACTTCTCCGATTGTGCGATCTTCCTCCGAAATAACGAGGTCCTTGATATGTTTTCCTTTTGTCGCACTTTTGTCCATGACATCTGGTTTCTCTTTGTCCTTCGAAACTGAGCTCAACTCCGACTCGCTGTCTCTGTTGGACTTTATGTGTAGCGGATCAAGAACTGTGGCAAGACTGCCCTTTTTCTGGAGCTCAATGTAACTTCCCTTTTCCAACACCTGACCCTTTTGTAATATAATTACTTCATCAGCAACTTTCATATGTTCCTCTTGATGAGTTGACAATACTCGTGTTTTGTTACCCAAGACTAGTGGGTCTAGAAAGCAGCTTTCAAAAATGTGTTGTCCAACTTTTATGTCCACGGCACTGAGAGGGTCATCCAACAAGTACAGGTCTGCATCCATGTATACTGCTCTAGCCAAGCTCACTCTTGCACGTTGACCTCCACTCAAAACGGCGCCCCGCTCACCTACAACTGTATGGTCACCGTTTGGAAACATCTGGAAATCTTCTGTAAGAGAACATGCCTCAATAATTTTGGAGTATTTGGTTTCGTCGTAAGGTAGACCGAATAAAATGTTTTGTCTAATGGTTCCAGAGAAGACCCATGGTGTTTGGGAAATATATGCAAGTGAACCTTGAAAAGTTATATCACCGCTGATATCTGAAATTTCGCCAGCCATAGCTAACAGAAGAGTAGATTTTCCACTTCCCACGGGTCCTGTGATGATTGTTAAACTTTTTGGCGCTGCAGTGAATTCTACATCCTGCAGAGAAAACTCTTCCCCCTGATCACTTTGGGAACACGAAAGACCTGACACAAGAAGAGACTCCTTCCCAGGTTCTTTCTCGTCAACGGTGGAGGCTTTGTCCGATTTTCTCTGTTTATCTGAGAGTCTGTTCGATCTCGATGTTTCCTTTATCAAGTTACCATCAGAGATCCCGTGCAACTCATCTAAAAGCAGAAACTCTTCGATTCTTTGAAGTGACGCATAAGCTTCGTATGTTTCCAGGGAACCATAGGCTTGGTAATAGCAAATACTTGTTATTAGTGTATTGATATAAGGAAGAAGCATGAAGAGATTAACAGGTGTGATTGGTCGACCAGTTAGCACCATTGTAATGACTACCACCAGAACTGCCAATGGCACTGAAGTGTACTGTAAGGCAGCAACCCCTGCTAGAACAGCACTCTTCTTTCGAATGATACTCATTTCCTCGCTAAAAAATGAAACAGATTATACAAACTAATTTCTCTGCAAATGAAATGTCGATAGTTTGATGAACCACTTCACACATTTTGACAAGAAAGAAAGGTACGTTCGATTAATCAGACTCACGTTGTTGAACGAGAACAGGAAAATAGTTACCTCGATGTCTAAGTACTCTGACAAGTCCACACATGTCCGAGAGAATAAAGTAAGGACGCGTGAAAAACCTTTTTCTGCATAATCTTTCTTTCAGGCACTTGTGTACGATTAACCAAAATTTATTTCTTATTTACCTTCGAAGGTGCTTTATCATGTCCTGGTACTCATCCTCCCATGCGTGCGTTTTTATGGCGCGAATCCCAGAAACCACCTGGTTCATCAAGGAAATACGCTGATCAGAAACAGCTGCTGTACGCAGGCGCAGCGCAGCACTAACATAGGACAGCATCCCAAAATATGGTACGAGCAAACACAGGAAAACAACACCAAGAAGAGTCTGCCAACCAATGAAATACACAAGTAATACTGTTGCACCTCCGACTAGAAAGAAATCTAATACCATAAAGTACAAGAATTTGACAGTTTCTCCTTCCAGTCGCTGAACATCGTTAGATACCAGGTCAATCACGCGGCCTGTTGAAAATCTCAGTAATTCCTGTTTGCCGAGTAGTAGTGTCTGCAAAGGAGGAAAATTCATGCTTGAGTAGATTATTAATTATGTTCGTGATGTTTTCCTCTAATTGCTTGTAATTAACTGATATAATCGTGACAACTTGCATTTACATTTGAGATGTTAGGTTCTTTTGTGTATATTACCACTGCCACGACTCTTTTGGAAATTCTTGAAAATTAAAAAAAATTCATTAAGAAAAAGGTTTACCTTTCGGTATATGAGACCTTTCAGAGCGCTGCTCATTCCAATACCAAGAGTATCACATTTGTAGGAAGAGTAATGAACACTGAGTCCCCCAATCGTCGCACAGATGCACATAGCCAACACACAACCGTACAGAGACAGATTTTTCTGTGGTTCAGCTGACATCAATGAGAAAATAAGATAACCGAGAAACAAAGGCTTAATAAGGCGCCAGACTGTGTACATTGAATGATCAATTACTATGATGAATGTATCTTTGAAAGACACCATCTTCAAGATGCTTCTCCAAAGTTTTGGCCTTTTCCCATTCTCTTTGCAATTGGCTTTCTCTTCATTCCATTTTGATTCCAGAAGATCTGTCAAAGAGCCTGTTGTGTTTTCTCTTGAGAGGGGAACAAAGTCGGTTTCTTCTAAAGTTCCATGAGAACCTGATTGGAAGACACCGTTCATCCAACGAAAAAACAGGAGAGACACTAAGCTGACATTTTCCTTTTGTTCACTGGTGAACACTGGCTTGTATTCCCCTTTAGCCATTTCTACATCTGCAAATTACAAGCGCCTACACGCATCATCAAAAGAAAAAAATTATCAATTTCAACAACAGAATGGTATCTACTAAAACAGCGATCAAACGTCCGCGCATATGCAAACGATGTAATGATTAGAGGACGCTCTTTCAAGCTGTCAGAACCAAGTTGTCGCTCAGAAGGTACCAACAACCTCAAAAGCCGGTTGGTCACACTGCTCAAGAATCTTATAACTTTTTTGATAAAGCTCAATACAAAATGGTAAATCAGCAGGATACTCGTTCTCAAATCGGCAGTGTCTACGAGAAATCTCGAGGTTTCCCTTTTTGTAACTTTTACAGATCTCTACAAACATTTAATTCCTTTTGGCATTCCTGACGACTGATCGCTGTGTTCTGCTATATCTCTTTGTTTTAATGGCGACATCGAATGTTTATTTGCGTCGTGAGATCCTATTTTTAACCGACTTCTGACAAAAGCTTTCAATTTTCCTTTGCCCTCTTTAAAGGTCACTTCTTCAAATAACCCTCCGGCAGAGACACACGACTATAACAAGCGTTTCATAATAGACCACAGAATTTTTTCCTCTTCCTAGACTGTGTAAGACGTTCTCTAACTAATTCACTTTTGGAACTGATCACTTAACTATCATAACCACCAAAAGAAAGGATTCATAAGAACTGATTTACGTATGTCGGTGCACGGGTTTTATATTTACATGCCCCACAGATTTACCAAAGAAATAGTTCGTTTCGTTGTCTTATAGAAATAACTGGATTGGCTCGACGAATCAGTGATAAGTCAAAAGCAGCTTTTAAATTTTAAATCACGAAATAAACCTTTCTGTGATTGTGCATTCACAGAAAAAAAAAGGGAACGACGTCATGTGCGTTGATTTCAAAGCATTTATTATAAGCAGCGCGAAATGCTCTTATTCAAACTGGCCCCATTAAACAAATTTCTCTCGAAGAGTCACGCATCTTAAACAAGGTTAAGTGTTGACTTTACGAGAACATTTAACATCTAAAAAGGAGTGCACGTGACTAACGCCACCAATGCTTCTTCTTGCTTACCTAAGTCCGGAAAGCGGCGGCTACTTAACAAAAGTTACTCGTTTGGAACCCCTCTAATTGAAGTACTCCAGTCACGTCATCAGCTAAGTGCACCGCCACTACACACAGCGATCAGGTAAATGTTGAAGAAAAAAAAATTCCGTAATCAAGTAAGTAACCATGCCCTCAAAGCACATCGTTAGAATTTACGACACTCTTGGACCGGAATAGGCGCAAGATCTGTGGTTTTACGGGACCTCACATTGAACCCGGAAAAAAAAAGCCTATGTGTTGAGATAGTTCGCATCTCAGACCTTTGTGCTGAGATAAAGATAGAGCACGTGAGTAAATACATCCACCACAAGATGACCTCAGGTCACTTCAACTTTTGAAAATTTGAATTAAGGATAACGGTTGAAAACCGATTTCAAAACAATTTTCTTTTCAAGGTGTTAAAAAATGTGCTGCATAATAAAGCCGATAAACATTGATGAGGTCATATTCTGAGAGATTAAGAAAGTAAGATCTACAAATATCGCGCCGGTTAAACAGTCTTAAAAGATGGAATATTCAATCAATTCATAACGACAAACATTTTACGGTCAATGGCCAAGGAGCGTAAACAGCTTTCGATTACAGATCACCGCAGTAAAGGAAATATCAGAGCGTCCTTACAATGAAATACTTTTATCCGCTAGGGTCTTGTGTAAGCGGAAGAATGAATGTTTGCTATCAGTTGGTGGCCGAAAAAATTAAACTCCTTAACTTCATATTTACGTTTAAAAAAAATTCCTAACAATTGTAAATCTCAGACCATAATTACTGCTTTCTGATGATCTCAGATCGTGAGGATGTTGCCTGAATTTTGGTGTCATCCCTCAGATATTTCCTCCACAGAAATGCGTTTGAAATCAATTTTATAATGGATGCCAAAAAAAATTGGTCAGAAGATTTTTACTTTGAGAATAACAGATCTGTCGAATATACAACCAAAGCAATTGTGTCAATTCCTTAAAATAGCTGCTGCTGTTGTTATTGACGAGAAAAGCTGGATAAGGAATCGAATGGTTCGCTTCACAGTGCGTACTTCTACAAGTGCTAACGACGAACAGGCAGAGCGTCCGCCTGTTTACGGAGCAATATGTATTAAGCTCACCTTAGCTGGTAACTATCTCCTCTACAGACACTTGGACATGATGGTATAAACCAAACGAAGAAAGAGAGATCCGCAAAACGGCAAAGACACTGTTTTACGTCTCATTTTCAAAAGACAGGCCGACACTTTAACGCACAATTAATTTTTCCATAAATGTAACGGTTGGAGACCCTTAAGTTTGAATCTTTTTTAATGGTTTTAACATCTGCCAGTGTTAATTATGATTGGTGGACTTCGTTTTGCGGGTACTTGTGTCACGCAATTTCTGAAGTCCGACTATCATCCGGGGAAAGAAATACTCAATCTATGGACCCCACACACATCACCGACT